CTTTGTGACCCCATTTGGGGTTTTCTTGGCAAAGATACTGGAGGGGTTTGCCATTTCCTTCTCCAGCTCGTTTTACAGATGAGGAAACTGAGGCAAAGAGAATTAAGTGATTTGCCCAGGGTCACGCACAGCTAATAAATGTTTAAGGCTGGATTTGAATTCAGGTCAAACTAACTTTAGGCCTGGCACTCTATCCACTATGCCATTTAGCTGCACATAGTAGGCACTTAATAAATGCTTGTTAATAGAGATGCCAACTCCCATCCCAAATTCATGATCTACGTCCCTTCTTAATGCTCTCTACCTTTTGATGTTACTTTGTATTAATGTCTGTGAATACATGTTGTATCTTCTTGGTACAGTATAAGTTCCTGAGGGCAGGGGTGTCTTTGTATCACCAGTGCCTTGCAGAATGCCTGGTTTATAGCAGGTGCTTAATAAATTCTGATTGATATAGACATATTATCTACTAATAGAAGTAATCTCCCTGAGGGCAGGGCCTGATTAATTTTGTCTTTGTATCACCAACGTCTTTCCTAGTGCCTGGTACATCATAAGTGTTTATAAATGTTTGTTTGTATACATATAAAATATGTGTGTGTGTGTGTGTGTGTGTGTGTGTGTGTGTACAATGTATCTATACATACATGTATGTGCGCGTACACATACACATTTTGTCTCCTCCAACAGAATGCAAATACCCCAGGTTACTGTGTTTTTGTCTTTGTATCACTATTCCTTTGCATAATGGTTGGCAAACAGTAGGTACATAATTGTTTGAGTTGAATTGAATTGAAATCCAAGTTCAGCATATACTTCTATAATGTCCATCTGAATCCTAAGGTGGGGAATGAGTCAAACTCATCTAATTTTTTCTCATTTCTTGGGGAGGGGTAACTATAGGCCAGTCAGTTAATGTCTCTGTCTTGACTGACACCGGGTGAAGGACAGGGTTCCTCATACTGAAGTCAGGTTACAAGTGTTCAGGAGAGTATAAGCAATCCGTTTTTAAGGTCTTCCCATTGAAGGTGTTATTTTCACAGTTTTCTCCGCATCAACCTTGTCATGTCCTGGCATGACACTGGGGTCATCGCTAAAGTCACAATTAGTTGACCACAGCTCTACCCTACTCTTGACAAAGAAACTAAAACAGTTTCCCTGGCAAATATTGGCCACAGAGGAGAATGAACTTGCTAACAGTAAGTAATAGTTGATCCGTCATCAATAGTTGATCTCTGATCAATACTTGACCCATCATCTTCAGTGGCTTCCTCTTGCCTCCTGGGTGAAGGCCAGACTTCTCTACCTAGCATTCAAGGCTCTCAATACTTTGGCACCATTCCAGCCTTCCCTAATTTTATTTTTTTTTTGTGAGCTCTCCACCACAGAAACTCAACCATTCTCAGCTCTGCTGATGCGCCCTCTGCTCTCCTGCCTCACCCCTTTGCTTTCACACTTCCCCCTACATGGACTTCCTTTTCTTCTTTTGAATTCCTGCCCATCTCTTAGATTGCAATAGTGACTGGCCCTGTGATCTCATTGGTATATAGAAAACTCTCTGTTGAGAGTCTGTGTAGGTCTGTGCCTTCTCTGCAACAGTAGGCTTTCAGAGTTACCTGGGGCCTAGAGAGGTTACTTGACCAAGGTCATACAGCTGGTCCATGTTAGAAGCAGGACCTGAACCTAGGCTTTCCTGACTCCAAGGCTAGCTCTCTATCCACTATGCCATACTGCCTTTTTTTTTCAAGTTTATCTTAAATTCTACTTCCTCCATGAAACTTTCCCTGATCCCCTTGTTTGGTAATGATTAGACCCCTCAGCTGCACATTGACCTTTGTCCTATATCTCTCTAATTTCCCCATGTAGTTATCATATATTCTACATGAATAAATGATAAAGCATTTATGTACCAGGCACTGTAGTAGGCACCAGAGGTACAGAAATGAGATAAAGTGAAACAGTTCCTACCCTCAAAGTAATTTACATTCTACTCATACATTCTACATACATGCTCAAGGAGTTTACATTCTAATCTGGGGAGACAATATATAGATACAGATATCTAGCTAGCTAGCTCTATTTATCTATCTAGATCTATCTATCCCTATACCTGTCTATCTAGATCTATTTTTATGTCTGCATCTATCTATATATCTTTAATTGTATGTATATGTGTATGTATGTATGTATGTATGTAGATGGGAGTGGTGGCCAGGGCAGGGAGTTGGAGTCTGGGAAGTCATGAGGTTGGTAAGTTAAGTCATAGGACATCTACTATTGATTTGATTATTATTCCCAGAGCAAGAATTAGGGTTCAGGGATAAGACTGGTAGATGGCGCAATCTCTAGAGTGCCTAAACCAAATGATAATCTGTGGTCAGTTAGATATAGCTGTCAGGATAGCTCAGCCCCAGAGAAATCTAAAGCTAAGTTGGTTAAGGCAGCATGGATACAATAGGAATTTGGAGATGTGACTTCAAATCCTATGTTAGACACTCCTATGGGCTGGGTGACACTGGGCAAGTCACTGAACTTCTCTTCCCCATCTGTAAAATGAGGGGGTATGGTCTGATGACCTATAAGGTCCTTTCCACTCCAGAATCTATGATACCATGATCCTCCAGGAAAAGAGAAATGGCGGTAGGCACAGTGTTAAGAAGGCGCTATTCCAGAGGAGGAGGAGGGAGCACCAGCATGCCAGGTGGCAAGATGTCTAGAGGTTCTTGGTATCTTACCCACCTTCTAGACTGCAAGTTTCATATGGCCAGAAACTATATCTTTTTTTTAATTCAATAAACATATTTAAAATTTTAATTTAATTATTTTCAATTAACAAAAATGTTTTCTATTGGTCCCATTCCCCTTTCCCCAGCCAACAAACATTTAGTATGTGCCTTGAACACAGTTAAGGCCAAAGGTTAAATTGTCCCTGCTCTCAAGGAGTTTACATTCTACTGGGAGGGTGAAACCTGTGGTGTATGTCTTATGACCAGTAGGTGGTGCAGTGGGTAGAGTGTTGCAGGAAGATCTGAGTTCAAATCCAGCTTCGGACACTAACTGTGTGACCCTGGGCAAGTCACTTAACTTTGTTTATCCCAGTTTCCTTAACTGTAAGATGGGGATAATAACAACACCTAGTTCACATGATTATTATGAGGATGAAATGAGAGGATATTTGTAAAGCGTTTAGCCTGGTGCCTAGCACATAGTAGGTGTTACATAAATACTTATTCCCTTCCTCCCTCATGGTAAATTTGTATCTTCTTCAGTGACTAACACAGTATTCTGTTGGTGCATAATGGATATTTGCTGAATGAATGGATGAATCGTTATCACGGAAATTTACTTAGTTGGACTTCTCATTCTTTCATCTAGTTAATAGGTAATGTTTAAGTACCCACTGTGCAAGGCAGCTAGTGAATTCTTTTTTTAAAATTGCTTTGAGAAGTAATCAGGCAGTTTCCTCATTAAAAGCAGTTGGGCTCTTGCCCATTTTTTTCTGATGCCTCTTCCATAGTCGATTTGTTTTTTTAAATAAAATTTCATAGTTTTTTTGTTTTACCTCAGTTAAATTGACTCCTTGCCCCTCCCAGAGAGCCATTCTATATAATAAAGAATATTTTTTAAAAGAGGAAAAGCAAAATACATTTTATTTGTTTTCTTTTTTATTTATGGAATAAAACAAGCATTTTTAAAAAAAATCTGACAGTAAATGCCCTTTTCCAAACCCATGGACCTCCCACCTCTGCAAGAGTGGGGTGGGGGTGTTTTATAGCTTTTCTTTAGGACCATATTTGTTCTTTGTGATTATGCAACATTCCGTTTTAATTGTTTTATGGTTGGGTCTGATTTAGTCTGGTCAAGTTTGAAAATTAAGCCCAGGAAATGTGGGCCAAAAGAGCATTGGCAAGAGTGAGAGGCAGATTTAGGCCCAATGTTAGGAAAAGTTGTCATTTAGACTGTGGACTGAACTTCCTGGGAGATAGTGGACTCCCCATCTCAGAGACATTCTGGATGACCCCTTGGGAGGGGATGCCACAGATAGGATTCTTGTGCAAGTACAGGTTGGATAAGATGGCCTGGGAAACTCCACCCACCTCTGAGGTTTTGTGAATCTTGGAAGAGGCCCGCAGTGGCAGACTCCCAGCCAGGTGGTAGGCCTATGGGATGATTACGCATGCAGGCGAGCAGGCCCTGATTACCCGCCCCAGGTACCCAGATAGAAGTGATAATGAGCTCTTTATTTGGACTGGCAGGTGGGACTCTCCCTGTCACACCAGGTTGATTGGATGGACCATCCTGGGGCTTAGATATGGGATCGAGTCAGGTCAGCCAGCAGGCCCTTCTGATTTTAATCTCCTTAAAATGTGATTTTCTCCCCTTCTGTGATCTTGACAACTGATGTTCATTTCCCATTCTCTCTTCCCATGCACCATCTTCTGGAAATTAGACAGGGAGCTCGAAATTAAGGGCCCCTGGAATTTTGTTCCCACTGATGTCAGAAATGAAAGGATCAAAGAAAGATCCAAGGCTTGGCAGACAACACCTGGCCCTGTGTCTGCTTGTGATGCCAGTGTGTTTTTTTCCAAAGTAATGCTGAAAGGACATCTCCAAAATGTTGTGACTTTTCAAGGCAGCAGGGTATAGTGAAAAGGGCATGAGATTTCAATTCAGAGGATCTGGGTTTGAAGCCCAGCTTTTGTACTTAATTACCGCCTGTGTGGCCTTCCCCACTCTGAACCTCAGTTTCCTTCTCTGTAAAATGATTAGGTTTTATGTCACATTGCTTGCTTTCTCACTGACGGGAGTGGGAAGGATAGAGAGAATTTGAAACTCAAAAAGTTTTAAGAAATGAATGTTAAAAATTGTTTTTACATGTAATTGGGGGGAAAATAAAATATTTTTAAAATGTAAAAATAAGATGAGGAGGTTGGACTCTAAGTCTGTGATTCTATGACCTATGACTAAAACCATCCTCTTTTTTTTTTCTTTTCTTCCAGACTCGTTCCCTGCTGAGCGTCTTTGAAGAAGATGCAGGCACCCTCACAGACTACACCAACCAGTTGCTTCAGGCCATGCAGCGAGTGTATGGAGCCCAGGTATGATGGTCTCACTTTTCTGACAATGCATACCTGTGCCCTTCTTCCTAACTAACATTGAGGGATCTTCCAGATGTCTGCCTAAAACTAGCATTTTAGAAAAGGGAATCAAATTTTTATTCTCTCTTATTTTTTTTCCTCAATTACATGTAAAACAAAATTTTACATTCATTTTTTAAAATTTTGTGTTCCAAATTCTCTGTCTTCCTCTCTCCCCTCTCACCTCCTTGAGCAGGCAGGCAATTTGACATAGATTATACATGTGCAATCATGCAAAATGTATTTCCATATTAGCCATGTTGCAAAAGAAAACAGATCGAAAAAAGAAAGAAAGAAAAAGAAAGAAAACAACAAAAGTCTGCTTTGATCCGCATTCAGACTTTCTCAGTTCTTTCTCCAGCAGTGGATAGCATTTTTCATGATCGGTCTTTCGGAATTGTCCTGGATCATTATATTGTTGAGCACAGCTAAGCCGTTCAGAGTTGGTCATTGCACAAGAAAAGGGAGTCAGGTTTGCCTTGTCTCTCCTTCTTCTTCCCCAGAAAGGACTTTGAGGATGCTTTGATTTAACTGAGATCATGGGATCTTGGATCTAGAGCTGGGAAGGGACCCCGGAGGTCATCTAGTCCAATTTTGTCACTTTAGAGATGAAGAAACTGAGAGTCAGAGAAATGACTTGTCTAGGATCACACAACTAGTAAGTGTCTGAGGCACGATTCACAGCCAGGTCTTCCTGCATTCAATCCTGACTCTAACCTGTACTATTCTCCCTCTTTTGTAAAATGGGAGGGTGCAGTCTAGACCAGTTGACCTCCAAGGTTCCATTTGGTTCTGGATCCTAGCCAATACTAAAAGGGACCTGTTGGGGCCATCTAGTCTAATCCCCTCATTTTACAGATAAGAAAACTGAGGCTGAAAGTTTAAGTGATTAGCAGAGCCAGAACCTCACTGGTAAAGATTGGAAAGCTGGCTACTGAGGTCACTTCCAACTCTGAAATTCAGTGACTTCAGAACCCGGGGCCTCTTGACTCCAAATTGCTTTCCTCTGCACCATTCTTTCCTTCTCAAGACAAGAGGCTCCATTTCTCTCATAATCACAAACTGATTTGGCTTCTTAGAGAGAGGGCACAGAGCTGTCTTTTCATTTCTTGAATTCAGTCCAGGCAGAAAACATTAGAACATCTTCTTGCCAGCAATGTGTTGGTATTTCTGCTGCTGGTATTCTCATGGATTCATGTCCTTTGTTCATATCTAACAAATTCCCAGCTTGTCAGTGTGGAAGGATAACAATCATGCTTCTTTAAATACTTATTCTGAAAAGTTTAAGTCATAGGCCTAAGATTATTAAGGACTGCGCCAAGTTCCTCGTTCCTGTTGAGGGGCAGAAATACATATATGACTTGCAAACAAGACACTTCCCGGGGGGGGGGGAAGATTGCTAAATAGTGAATGGGAATATCTTTTAAGATTAAGAAGCACGCACGTGACCAAAAGATTTCTAGGAGCACTTTTTGTGGAACCGAAGAAGTAGAAACCAAATCTATGCCCATTGATTGGAGAATGGCTTGACAACTGGTGGTAAATTACTGCACTGTAAGAAATGATGACTGTGATGAGTACAGAGAAGCATGAGAAGATTTATATGAACCGATGCAAAGGGAAGTGAACCAGGAAAACAATATAGATAATGACAAGAGCAATGCAAATGGAGAGTATCAAAAGCCCTAAGCAAACGAAACTGAAGGCTGGCAAATTAAAATGACTAAGTTTGATCCCAAAGAAGAGATATGAGAAGGTATGCTCCTACCTCCATTTGTAGACATGGGAGACTATGAATGTGTGTGTGAATTACTACATAAAATGTGAATTACTACATAAAATTTCAGACTTGGTTCATATGTTGGTATCGCTTAACTGGGCTTCCCCCCCTTTTTCTTTTAATTCTTTGTTATAAGGGAGGGTATTCTGGGTAGGAAGGGAGAGGCATAGGGATAGCTTAAGAAATGTAGGTGATATAAAAACAGAAGATATCAGTAAAAAAAAAACATTTTTTTAAAAGAAGCAAAATCATAACTAGGCCAGGGTGATTAGGACCTTGTTCTAGCGCACCAAAATTTAGAGGGATCTGCTAATTCAGCAACCCTGCCAACTCAGGGGTTTGTCAGCTCAGGTAGGAAAAAAAATTGAGCTTAGCACCTTTTTGGAAGACTAGTGAGTTAAAATAGGAAGCTGCCACATAGCACCCTCATAGTGTTGTGGGACACCATTCATAGGATTTGCTTCTGGGTGTCTTCTTCTGCACCTGTTCAACTTTATTTGTCTCCAGAAGTTGCTTCGAGGGATTATCTGGCATTTCCTGCCCTGGTCAGAAAAATTGCTGACTCCATCCCTGGTATATTTGTGTTGGTGTTTGTGGATTTTTTGCGCCTGAAAATATTGAAATAGGAATTTAGCAGATTTGCGGTTTCATATGCAATCATCTTTTTGATTGTACTTTGTTATGGAGATGCTTGTTTTGTTACATAAATTTAAAATAAATAGAAACTGAATAGGACAAGTAAACAAACAAACAAAAAGAATTGTTTGTTTGAATCCTTGGGTTCAGCATGGTCCCTTGTATCAGCCACACAGTAGTGATCCTGACAAAATGGAAAAAATGAGTTATGATCATCATTACCCAGTCCTACCCAGGACTGTAGGACTGGAGCTAGGCAAACGTATACACTTCTCCCATCCCCCCTTTCTCTTTCTCACTCATGGCCTCCAGAGAAATTCTACATGGTCTGTTATGCTTTCTATAGCTTTTGCATCTGGATTGTGATTTCATTAGCTCAGGGTACTCCTGACATGGAAACTCCTTCTACCAATACAAATCAATGTCTGGTCTACGACTCAGCATCTTGAGATATCCCTGGGACACCAAAAGGTTAAGTGACTTGCCTGGGGTCCTTCTTTCCATTTCATTCCATAGTATTGATTTGTTTACTACCTCAGAGCCCCAGATTTGTTTACCATTCCTTGTATAGGGGAGGCAGCAGAGAAGAAGGTAGGAAAATGCCACCCTATTCCCCCTTCAGCTCACCCCCTCTAGCCAGACCACCACCACCAAAATACCCCTTCCTGACCATTATTCACCTACATTTATGTTTTCTTCCACCATTAGAGTGTAATCTTCTTGAGGGCAGGGATTATCCTACTTGCTTATCTTTGTATCCCAGTGCTGAGCACAGTGCATGGCAACACAGTAAGCATTTAATAAATGCTTTTCCATTCCCAGTTTGAGGACTGCTCTCTACACACACATTAAAAGCTGCTTAGGCAGCTTTTAATCATCAATTACCAATATGTCATTAATGACCATTAGTGATATTTAAAAGATACTGATTATAATAAAAAATGTAACGGCAGGGTGCTTAGCTCATAAGAGAATATTCACAGTAGCTCAGAAATTCTATTTTAAGGATAATTTAGACAAAAATTGGAATTGCTACATGAAAATGGCATAGTTAGCAGACTCAATATTGACCTGGTATTGCCTGTAACTAGCAGTGCAGCTAAAGCAAGTTCCTTGACCTCTCTGAGCCTCAGTTTCCTTATCTATAAAATGAGAGAATTATAGTAAATGGTCTCCAAGGTCCCTTCCAGCTCTCAGTCCCATAAGAAGACATTTCCTTCCCTGCCTTCACTGGGTTAGGGGGAGGCTCAAATGAGATTGTGTGTATGTATGTGTACGTAAACAATGAGATGTGTCAAGTGCTATGCATAGGTGGTGTGTGATTTTCACTGACTTTGAGAGAGAGTGAGATATGATCTCTTGAAAGAGGAGAAAGGGAAAAGTCAAGATTTTGCAGCATCATGATGGGACAGAGTGATTAAGAGGCAGAACAGTGTGGTGGATAGAATGTAGGACCTGACGTCAGAAAGACCCAAGTTCAAATCTTGTCTCTGATACATGCTAGTCAGTCAACAAGCCTGCATTAAGCTCTTACAATGTGCCAGGTACTTTACTAAGCCTGGAGAATACAAAGAAAGGCAAAAATAGTTCCTGATCTCAGAAAACTGACTCTCTAACCAGGGAGATAAGATGGAATATATAATAAGTATCCTGAGTAGATGGAAGGTTATCTCAGGGGGGAAGGCATTAACAGCTGGGGGGGTGGTAATCTGGAATGGCCTCCTGCAGAAAGTGAACTTTGAGCTGAATGTTGAAGGAAGCCAGAGATTCTAGGAGGTAGAGGTGAGAAAGGGACAGAGGACAGTCCATGCAAAGGCTCGTAGGTGGGAGATGGTGTGTACAGCCTGAGGAACTGCAAGTAGGCTAACATAGCTACATCATTGAAGGTGTGGAAGAGAATAAGAATACTGAATCATGGGAAAAGGCCAGGTTGTAAGGGGCTTTAAATGCCTGACAAAATTGTTTATTTGATCTGGGAGCCCCTTAAGCAGGGAGGTGATGTAATAAGACCTACATTTTAGAAAAATCACCTTGGCAGCAGAGTGGAGGATAGTTGGGAACAGAAAGGGGAGAAAATTGAGGCAGGCAATCTAGTTAGAAGCTGTTGCTTTCCAGGTGAGAGGTGATGAGGACCTGTCTGTGTGAGTGAAGAGAAGGGAATGGACATAAGAGATGTTGTGAAAGTAGATGTGACAAGAGATGGCATAGATAAGATTGACTCTACAGGGAGTGTAAGAGAGGAATTCAGGATGCAACCTGGTTGGGAGCCTGCTGACCGCAAGCATGGTGGTCTTCCAGACAGCATTAGGGAAGGGCTTGCAGAACCCTGGACATCTCACTTAATTTTTCAGCATCTCAGTTTTCTCCTCAGTACAATGGAAATAACATTACTTATATTCCCTACCTCACGAGACTGTCATAACGCTCAAATGAGCCAATGTCTGTATAGAGTTTTCCAGACTTTCAGGTGTATAGAAATGGCAGCAGAAATGACTATTTTAGCAGTGAAGGCATCTTGAACTGACTGTTGACACCAATTGCATTC